CTCCCCACTCTGGTTCTTTACCCCGTTCCTCCACGATCCGTCTCCCCCCCCTGTTTTCTATCCTGTTCCCCCACGATCCGTCTCCCCCTCTGGTTCTCTACCCCATTCCTCCTCAATCCACCTCCCCCTCTGGTTCTTTATCCGTTCCCCCTTGATCCATCTTCCCTCCCAAGTCAGAGAGCTAAAGATATCTGGATCTTGAAGGTATCAAGGGATCTGGTAGGAAATTGGTCTTCAGGGGAATCCATCTAGCTGAGTCACAGAGCAGTCTCGAGAAGCTGAAGTGTGTAGTCCTGTTTGTATTTTTTTTACATTGCTACTCCCAGTTACTCAATCGAAAACCATCATGATTTTAAGCACCAATTTCCCGTTTTTATTTGTCCACAGGATGTGGGCCTCCCTGGCTGGGTCCAGCACTTAAATGCCCATCCCCAATTGCCCCCACCCTTGAGAAAGTGGGCTGAGCTGCCTTCTTGAACCGCTGCAGTGCCTCCTCCCTCCCCAACCCTGTGCAGTATAGGGGCACCCCACCCAACGCCCTGTTAGGGAGGGAGTTCCAGGATTCTGACCCCGCGGCACTGAAGGGACGGCCCATAACGTGGGGGGTTGTAGAACAGAGAGACCTAGGGGGTTCAGGGACATAATTCTTTGAAGTTAGTGTCACAGGTAGACAGGGTGGGGAAGAAGGCGTTTGGCATGCTTGCCTTCATCGCTCAGACCCTTTGAGTGTAGGAGTTGGGGACGTCACGTTGAGGTTGTACAGGGATGTTGGTGAGGCCTCTTCTGGAGCACTGTGTCCAGTTCTGGTCGTCCTGTTATAGGAAGGATGTTATTAAACTGGAGAGGGTTCGGGAGAGATTTACCAGGATGTTGCCGGGAATGGAGGGTTTGATATATAAAAATAGACTGGAAAGTCTTGCGCTTTTTTTTCACTGTAGCGTAGGAGGTGACCATATGGGGGTTTATAAAATTGTGAGGGGTATAGATAGGGTGAATGGTGGATGTCTTTTCCTTAGGGTGGGGCATTTCAAGACTAGGGGGCACATTTTTAAGGTGAGAGGAGAAAGATTTACAAAAAGACATAAGGGGCAATTTTTTTTTTTTACACAGAGAGCAGTTTGTGTGTGGAATGAACGTCCTGAGGAAGTGAGTAGTTACAACGTTTAAAAGATGTTTGGATAAGTACATGAATAGGAAGGGTTTGGAGGGGTATGGGCCAGGCAGGTGTGGGACTAGTTTAGTTTGGGATTATGGTCCAAATGGATGGGCCGAAGGGTCTGTTTCCGTGTGACTCTCCGGCTGACACCCTTTAGTCTGGAAGGGAACAGGGATGTCTTGAAGCCACGTCTATGAGTACTGTTTGCAGTTCAAGTCTGAGGACCGATATCCGGGCTGGGGAAAGAAGGTTCACCAGACTGATTCCTGGGATGGCAGGACTGACGGATGTAGTGAGACTGGATCGTAAGGCAGACCCCTTCCTCCTCGGGCAGGGCTGAGGGAACCTCCTCTGATTCCGAGTGGCAATTCTGCTCCTCCTTCAGTCAGGGGATTGGGGCATCCGGGTGTCACGATCTGAGATTTCGGGCGATGGGTTCTGGGGTAGTCACAGCTTATTCCATTCCCCCTCCTTTGGCCCAGCTACCTTCTCTATCCCTCTAAACCCTTCCTATCCATGTACCCATCCAGGTGCCTTTTAAATGTTGTCATTGTACCATACAGAGAACCACTTCCTCTGGCAGCTCGTTCCACACACACACATCACCCTCTGCGTGAAAAAGTTGCCCCTCAGGTCCCTTTCCCCCTGTCACCTTAAACCTGTGCCCCTCTAGTTTTGGACTCCCCCTACCCCGGGGGAAGAGACTTTGGCTGTTCACCCTATCCATGCCCCTCATGATTTTATAAACCTTTACAAAGTCACCCCCTCAGCCTCCGACGCTCCAAGGAAAATAGCCCCCAGCCTCTCCCTATCGCTCGAACCCTCCAGCATCCTTCCTGTAGCAGGAAGACCGGGATTGAACGCAGTATTCCAAAAGCGGCCTCACCAATACAGCCTCAACATGACCCTCCCGACTTCTACACTCAACGCACCGACCAATAAAGGCGAGCGTCCCAAACCCCTTCTTCACCGCCCTGTCTACCTGCGACTCCACTTTCAAGGAACTATGTACCTGCTCCCCGCAAGATTCAGCAACGCTCCCCAGGACCTTACCATTAAATCCTGCCCTGGTTTGCCTTTCCCAAAACGCGGCACCTCACATTTATCTAAATTAAACTCCATCTGCCCCTCCTCGGCCCATCTGATCAAGGTAACCCCCTTCACTGTCCACCACACCTCCAGTTTTCCTGAGCTTTGGATCAGGGCAGCTATGGGAGAAATGGGGTTGGGGGAGGGGGTCGTGGGTGTGGTTGAGGTCGAGGTCGATGAGGGAATGTAGCGGGAGGAAGCCAAATAGAACAGAGGGAGCCTGACTGTCTGTCTCTGAAGTTCGACGTGGTTTAACAGTGGACTCTCTACTCTCGCTAACCTTGCAGGCAATCTGAAGGAGTTTGTGATGTACTTGTACAAGGGGCTCATCGTGGAATACATGGACGTGCTGAAGATGGCAGTGCCGTCGCTGATCTACACACTACAGAACAACCTTCAGTACGTCGCCATCTCCAACCTGCCTGTGGCTACATTCCAGGTAGAGTGATATTAGACCCCCCAAGACCACTGTCACCATCCTCGGGGCTACCATCTCCAATGAGGGAGAATCCAACCATCGCCCCCTTGACGTTCAATGGCGTTACCATCACTGAATCCCCCCCCTTCCACCCCCCACTATCAACGTCCTGGGGGTTACCCATTGAGCAGAAACTGAACTGGGACCCCAGCCCCATATCAATACAGCGGCCACAAGGAGCAGGTCAGAGGCTGGGAATCCTGCAGCGAGTAACTCCCGTCCTGACCCTCCCCCCAAAAGCGTGTCCCACCATCGACAAAGCAGGAGGGTGAGGGGCAGCTCTGACAACACTCGAGAAGCTCCACACCGTCCAGGACAAAGCAGCGCCCCCCCACCCAAACCCCTTCCCCAGTGCAATCAACGTGCTAACCCCCACCTTCAACACTCCCTGCCTCCACCACCGACCCACAGAAGGCTCCTGGCCACTTTCTTGAGGGGCAGTTAAGGACAAGTGATAAATTCCAGAGGTTGAAGGAGAGGACTCCCACCATCTCCTTGAGGGACAAGTCTTGGCTGTTCAGGAGAGAGATCCCCACAGCCTTCTCAAGGGGCAAAAAGGGGAGGTTGGGCAAATATTGGCTATGCAGGAGAGAGATCCCCACAACCCTCCCAAGGGGCAGCTGGGGAGCCAATTATCAGATGACTCTCCACAGCCTTCTCAAGGAGGCAATTAGGGATGGGGAGGGAGAAAATATTGGCCATTCAAGTCGATGGCTCCCCACCTTCGCTTCACCATTCTGGGGAGGTGGGCAGGAAGATATACTAGTGGCTGAGGGAGAGGGATCCCACCACCGTCTCAAGGGGGCAATCAGCGACAGGGCCAGTGCGTTCAGACCCCCCCCCCCCCCCCCACCCCCCGCGAAGAGAAACATGGATTGACAGCGGGTGTGTTGACTCTGTCTCTCTCTCTCCCTCCCCCGGGGCACCAGGTGATGTACCAGTTCAAGATCCTTACCACGGCCGTGTTCTCGGTGCTGATGCTGAAGAAGAGCCTGTCGCGGCTGCAGTGGGTCTCGCTGGTCATCCTCTTCACTGGCATCGCCATCGTGCAGGTGACGCAGGAGGAGGGCAAGGCCGGTCGGGACCGGGCGCCGGGCCAGAACTACCTGGTGGGCCTGCTAGCAGTCTTGGTGTCCTGCGTCTCCTCCGGTTTTGCGGGCGTCTACTTCGAGAAGATCCTGAAGGGCACCAGCGCCTCCATTTGGCTGCGCAATGTGCAGCTGGGCATCTTTGGCACCGTGCTGGGGTTGGCCGCCATGTCGTGCAAGGACGGCTCAGCCATCGCAGAGAAAGGGTTCTTCTTCGCCTACACGCCCATGGTGTGGTCGGTGGTGCTGAACCAGGCGGTTGGCGGCCTCCTGGTCGCCATGGTGGTGAAATACGCGGACAATATCCTCAAGGGCTTCGCCGCCTCCCTGTCCATCGTCATCTCCACCGTGGCGTCCGTCCACATCTTCGGCTTCCACGTTGACCTGTACTTTGCGCTGGGGGCCAGCCTGGTCATCGCCGCCGTCTATCTCTACAGCCTTCCCAAGGCCCCGGCTCCGGCCTCCTCGTCGCTGCCGCCTGCCTCGTCGCTCAGCGCCGAGCCCGACAGCTACAGCACAAAGTTAGTCATCAAGTGAAAGTGGAGGGTAGGGCGGGAGTGTCCGACCGATACGTTTGTCTGAGCCGAATGCGCACGTGTTTGCCCTCTCTCTTTTTCTCTCTCTGTCTGTATGGTGTGCACGTCCCTCTCTCTCTGTCTGTATGGTGTGCACGTCCCTCTGTCTCTATATG